AAACTCTGGTTTCAAACGGGTTTTATAAAATAATAAATCCGAATGATCATATAAATTATGAATGGATTAATGTTAACCAGTTTTGACGTTTAGTATTGGCATCCATCTGGTCAAACCTTTTTAACTGGAAATTATATCGGAGAAATTCGGATTTGGGAAACACCAAATTTGATCAATCCACCTAATGATACATTACATTTCTTTGAAGATGATCTTAAAATACGGTTTAAAAAGATCCATTCTTTTCAAATAGGTTCTTCATTTTCAAAAATTTATTATAATTATTATCATAATCACAATTTTTTAAAATTTATATTTTTGGAATATATTTTAGATTGTATTCGATTTGTTAACGGAAATGTGCTGTCAAAATCAATAAATGGCAAAATCGAATATTGGAATTACGAAACATTTGAACTTATTAAATCTTTCCTTATCAAAAACAGCTCAAACAATAGATCGAGATTTGATGTTAGGTAATGTACAAAGTAATATTCAATATTACCTTTTGATTATTTCGACTTACATTTCATATGATTAGTTTGGATGAAAAGTACTTTTGCGTGGGTACGAGTAATGGTAGCATCAATATATATAACGTCTTAAGTGGTAAGTTGGTAACAGAGCTTCGTCATCGACGATCAACCAAGGCTGTAAGATGTTGTGTGTTTTCAAGAGATACAAAGTAAATATCATGTATTTGTCAACGTATGCTTTTATCATCTGATTTATCCAAATTGATAAATCCTTTTAATGCAGGCAAGTACTTGCGGCTGGTGAAGAAGGATACATTTGGAGGTATGATTATATTAGTGATGAAACATTGACAGAATGGGCGAAATGGAAACAAACAAAACAAGATGAATGAGAAATGTTGTTATTTTAAAAAATGATAATTCTGTTATTAATATCATTAAAATGTTTCTTGCCAGTTTAAATAAATCACTTTCTAGACATTAATACAATTGTGAATGAGAATATTCTAGTGGCGTTTTTTTTTTTTTTAATTTGAAATGTATTTATTTTCAATGTCTTTCCATTGTTTCTGTTATTAAATGTATATGTAAGGAAAAAAATATTTTTTGATGATTATAACAAATTGAAGGAAGGTTCACTTACTCCTCTATTAATATTGTCCCAAACCTTGTCAGCAGCAGTATCAAAAGCCACCTCAATCACAAAAGCTGTAGTAAAAATTCCGGCCAAAAATACAGAATTACGTCTAAGCAACGTACGGTAGATTGTTCCGGTGAATCTATAGAGAGTATAAAAAAAAGAATAAGTTATAAGCATATATTTAACAAAAGAATTAGATTTCATATATAAATGATTGGAACCTGCTGTTAGTAGACATTTTATTTTTATTTAATGGAATAAAAAAAAAAAAAAACAGATCTTTATTATTAGGATGATATGTTTATGAAGTCATAGGAGGACATTCGTCTGATTGGCTGATGTAAATCAATTGCTCGGGTAACTTAGTAACTTATCTGTTATTTATATACTTTAAAGTACTTTTGGGAACACATTTTTTCGGTTCGATAAAACGTCTATATTTACTATGTAAAAATAATAGAACAGGGTGAAACCTGAGTTGCGAAATAGTGAAATCCGCTTTGTAGATTGAAATCCGTGTTTTACGTATTATGTTTTTTTCTTATATAAAAACGGATTTCATCCTCATGTGATGATCATAACGGATTTCACTATTTCACCCCTTAGAAGACAATATATGCCTATATTTTATTGAATAAATATCATACCTACTTTACATGCATCTATTCTCTAAATATAAATAATAAACTTTTTTTGCGTACATTTATTGTATGTAAGCTTCTTTATACAAGTATTTAGTACTATAATATTAATTAAAAATTATGTATTTTGATTGGCTAAGTATCACGGGAAATCGAATGTCAATCAATAATCGTGCCAACCAATAATTGTGCTAGTTCAAGTAACACAAACTTTATATATAGTTTGTTCAAATATATGAAGCTTCGCGTCATTTCTCTTGCTAATAATCTAGATTCTGTTGCTATAATAAGCTGTATTCTTGTATAGTGGTAGGGAGTATAAACCAAATTCCAGTAACAAAGAATGACCGACGTACAAAATAGTACTACGACATCCGGTGGCAAAAATAAATTAGTAGTTGATCGTGAGAATGTAAAGATCCCAACCTAGAATGATTTAAGAATTACCTTAAAAATAATTAATTTGTTGGGCTTATTATTAATTTTATAGACGGTTCCGTTTCTATTGCGAATGTTTTGGCAGCAAGGCGCTCATCACCGGTGAAAGACGTCGTTAAGTTTTATTTTTAATCGATGAATAAGTTCAAAATAATATTTACCTTGAAACATATATGTATATTTTTTTTTGACAGGCCTGATGATTATACTCCAGAACATCTCCCTACTGAGAATGAAATACAACTATATACGTGGTAAATTTAATTGACAAATTTTTTTAAGCAAACATAATTATTTAGTTTAATCTTTTTTTATAAATATGTGTAGGAAAGATGCTACATTGAAAGAAATTGCTAATCTTTTTAAAGAAGTGAACTTTGAATCCACTCGTCCAAATGCACGAATATCATTTAAACTAGTTTATATTGATAATTTGCGTGGAAAATATGCATTCAAAGATTTGGGTACGGTTCATAATATGACACCAACTTCTGATGACGACATAAATCTTGACGATGCAAGATTTGTTATCGGAGACTTTTTAGACGTGGGTGTTTTTCATGGTGCACCTCCAAGAGCTCCTGAAAGACGAGGTAGTATTTTAAAAGATCGAAATAGGGAACGAGACCGGGCAAGGAACAGCTATCGTAGTGTCGGAAACGATCGTCGTGATAGGGATCGAGAACGTGACAGAAATAATGATAGAAGGGACGACCGAAGAGATAGCAATTTTAGGGATAGAAGACGATAAAAAATTTCCAAAGTTTCTTTCAAAATATCCATATCTCCTGATTTATATTGACTAATGTGATTGGCTTAAAAACTACCATATTATTACAGATAGTTATAGTTAAAAATTTTTTGCTAAATAAATATAAAGATAAAATAGATCAGATAAGGATTATTAGCGGTAATAAGAATAGTTGTATAAATGACGAACTTTTGACTTGTGAATTACTATTGTCTCTTATGATTGTGAACATAACCAAGCGAGTACTTTTTAATATTAATAATATTAAGATAATATTGATACAACTCAGAGTACTAAATTCATAAAAACATTGACTTATACATTTATACATCAAGATTTCTGTCACATACGATTTGATTGGGTAATAAGCATTTATAAATGGTTACTTTCTTGATGTATATATTAGAGTTTGTACGAAGTTGGTTGGCAAGATGAAAAGAAGTTGTCAACTCATCAGAGAGAAAACTAAAGAAATTAATTTATTCAAAGAATTTTAATGCATAGACAAAAAAAAATGTAGAACCGTGATGAATAGCTAGAGATCATGGTCGTCAACATATCCCAAGTTTCGAAAATGTCATACTTGCCGCTAGAAGATAGAGGTTCGTTAGTGAGTCAAAAAATTCACCAGAAGTAACTAATACAAACTGGCTTACCCTTGGGGTGTATTACATTAATTGTTTTAATTAATAAATTTAATATAAATCCAAATTCTATTCAAGTTGCATACATTTTACATTTCATGTTTGTAACCATGGATCCTTTATCGAATTCGGGTTAAAAACAATACAATGGCCAGATAACAAGCTTTATTGTGTTGTTTGAAAATTTATCACAATTGTATATTAACACCCTTAATTTAATTTGTTAGTTTTTTTCCTTGTAAACTGATGAGGGTTTCTTAAATGATTTATTCCAATCTATTTTATACTTTTTAAAAAAAATATATAAATGCAAATCAATTTACAAAGGTTTTTTTTTTTAAAAAAAAAGGAAATAAAATAAAATAACTTTTAAATAAAAAAAAAATAAAAACATACATCCCATGCATAACTTAGGGCATAAATGCCTACAGGAATAATTACACAACCAACAATTGCAATTCGGGTAGTGCGACTATTGAACCGGAAATATTTCATTGTTTCTTCACGCATATAGCCCCAACGCTCGATCGCAGGATCTTTTATGAGAGCTGTTAAATTTATGGAAATGATTGATTTTTTTTAAAATAAATAAAAGTTTAAAATTGAATTCAAATTTTAAATTCAAATTTTAATATTAAAATTCGAATTAAAATCATTAAAAATTAAAAATAGCTAAAATTATAAAACAATTGATCTGATTGAAAAGAATCATTAGTAATGCCTTACTATCATGATCTCCGGCCATGATGAAAAGAATGATAAAATTTTACAAAGGAATAAAACTTGGGATGTAGAACAATATTCTAATTTAACTGAATAACCGAACCATGTTACACAAATTGATACGTGACTATATGTCTAATTTTGAGGGTTAGTGGATCTACAAGAAGCCCAGATTTCCTTTATCAGCCAATTATTTTCATTGATCGCTGATCCGCAATAATTTTTTTAACAAATTAGAATACAATAAAGATATGTACTTTACCATTTATCTATATTCGATTACCGGAGATTGTCTTCCTTTGAGGCACAAACATTCAATTACGATTACATTCTTTTAAATTGAGTTCGAGGTTCCAGTGGTTGCTTAAAAGCAAACGTAAGACAATGGGAACAATACGCGTAAATCACGTGTAATAGCATTGATTTTCTGTCGTACGTATGCAGCCTGAGCCCTACTTAGTTCCTACATAAACTGTAGCTGAAAAACTTTATCCACGTACATTTTTTTCCCAATAGTTGATAGAACGGTACAACTAGTAACTACTACAAATTCAGTCTAACCCTTCTCTAGTTTCGGCCACCATTCAAATTGGGATAAAGCCACTTATTCACTGTTTAATAGTTTAACTCACCTCTCACCTTAACTTTACTATCTAAAACCGTTTTATCTTTCATATATTAACCGTAAATATGAGTGACAATTCTCCATGTTTTCCGTTGAACAGAATTCAACAAAACCTTTTTCATCCAAGCGGCGCTTTCTATCATCATCCCCAAATGGTACCAAAACCACATTACAGAGAAAGAGTTACGTCTGCTGGTGCAGCTGAAGTTCCAAAGAGTACGTTCTTCGTATTCTCTCAACTTTTAACCTGTAATCAACCAAAAATTTATTGATTTTAATTGGTTTTTACTTAGTCTTAGGAAAACGAAAGCCTGGCGCTTACGACTCTGATGAATCAATGGGTGAAAGCAAAACTCCTCCAAGCTCGCCCACTACACAAGAAATGGAAAAAGAATATTCCTTAGTAAAGAGAACAAAGATGAGCAACGAGAAAGAATTTCCTCTAAGTAAACTTTTAGGTATTAAAAAGAAATTTTCAATATCCAATATTTCAGTATTACTATATCATTAAGTTCTTTCTAACCACCGTTTGGATTGAATTTAGCAACACTTGATAAGCCACAACTGCTATCACTGATAAATAATCTTATAGATGCTCATCCAAATTTGCAGTCGGAAATCGCTTCAAACATTCCTCGACCAACAATTCAATCTGTAACAAATATTTTGACGAGTATGGAAAAGAAATATCTGGACAGTTTTCCTTATACCAAATGGGGTCAATCAAAAGATGATTATAGTTTTAATCGCGTCAAGCCTGCCCTTATAGAACTAAAGGTTGGTTTGTTTCCAAATATTTAATGGTTGCAATATAATTTATTAATTTGAAATCACGATCATTTAATATTGCGATCCAACTCCATTCATAGGGTGCCATTTTAGATTACGCTGCCCATTTCACATCACCCGAGGAATTTCCAATCACTACATTCTCCTTTCTTCACCTGGCTACTTTTTATGCTCATAGATTACCGGAATGGGATAACAGTTCACACAATGAACTTAAACATGATATATATGTCAAATTGTCTAATTTTTGGAAAAAAGCTATCATTAATGCCGCGAGCAAACTAAGAGAGGGAAAAATATATGGCCAAATGGTCGTTAATGAATGGGCGAAAAAGTATGTTTATTTTATTAAATTAATTATATAAGCTGGTTATTTTTTTTACTCATTTTTCTTTCTTTTGTATAGCCTCGCTCAACATGATCGCGATTCTAATGGTATGTTCCGACAAGCTCTTGATGAATTTACCCAAAAGTTAGGCTGGATTATTGGACTTCAAAGTGGGTCGACTTTATTACCACCTTTTGCTTCTGGAAATGGTGGTGCGAACCATATTAATAATAACAGTTCAATGCAACACCAAAGCTTTTTTGCAATGTCAGTCTAAAAAATAAATAGAATTTGAATTCTGTGTATCTTCATATAATTTCGTTCATACCATGCATCATAGTTTTGAGTTCCTATAGGTGCGTGTATGTGTTAGGAATTTGTTGCAGCTCGGATTCTTGGATGAGAAAGGTATTCTCCGTTATATACCTTTTAAAAAAGGATCAAAAACGGTCTATTTACATTTTCAATTTATTAAAACACTTTGACGCATGCTTTTGTTCATTTGATTGAACTTATATATAAACTTTTGATTATATCAATTTTTATTTGATTACATCTACTTTGATATTATAGAATGTGAAGTATGCTTTATATAAATTAACATAACCAATTTTATATGCTTGTAAGTATAATTAATATTTAAAATATGGGTATCAACTAAAATTTTGCCTCGAACAATTATCGAATTTTGTTTAATTTAAACTCAACCTTTAGAATTTTTAATATATTTATTATTACTATATATAATTGTATTTTTTAAAATATAGGTAAAAATTATAATTTGTAATACACTAGCGATAGATAGATTAGATATGATTTTCTAGAATTTGCCAATCTAAATATTTGTGAATTTATAATCGGAGTGAATCGGAGGATGGCTAATGCAAAAATAAGTCATCGATTTTATGCTGTATCACATATTCGTATTTAAAATATACAATCTCGATTATTAACGCGTGCATGCAATGTTAGAGGTTGGGAACCAATTTTAATAATTCGGGTTTATCACGTGAATCTTGTGATATTTTAGAAATTTATCTAATAACCTCTATGCAATGTATAATAAATAAATCATTCCATATTTTCTTTTGGCGGTACTCGGGTATTTTATTTTTAGAGTCTAATAAATTCTTACATATCCCACGATGACAGCATATGCATGTGATTGAAATACGTACACCTACGTACGTATATGTTGTACGTCAGACTGATTCTTACGTCAGATTGCAGCTAACGCATGTCAGATGACTACGTGATGACCAGCGTTAAATATTACCCTGTAAGTTTCATTCTAATCCTAATTCTAACTCAGGTCGGGCGTCATCTGACGCAAGAATGCATTTGAGACATAACATATGTTTTTAGTTGATTAAAAATTTATTATTAATCAAGACTAAGAACAAATTATGTTCGAAAAACTCAAGAAACTATTTAAAAATAAAAGAAAGTTAATAATTTATTTTTAAATATTTTTTTAAAATATTTAATTTAATTATTAAATTAAATTTAATAAAATAAATTTATTAAATTTAGTTTAATAATTGTTAGAATATTTTAGTTTAAAATTAATTTATTTTTATTGTTTTTTTTTATATTATGTTTCAAATAACAATTTAGTTTAAATATTAATTTAATCAAAAAAAATTAATTTAAATTCAAATATTAGAATTAAATTTGATTAAAATGTTGGATTTTATAGCTTAATAATAAGATTGCTAACTTCTTACAAACAAGGTTAATAGTTCAAGTTGTATTGAAAATAAAAATCTAAAGATATTAATTTTGTAATCTAAAATAGAAGTCAATTATATGCAAAGTTTTATAAACAGTTTTAAATTAAAATACAAAAATAAAAATTCTTAAAAAAAATTTAATTTTGTAAAAAAAAATATTATATATAATAGCAATATTACAAAAGGCTTAGTTAAAAGACAATGTTATACAAATAAATTTTCAAAAAACAGAGTAATATTAACATTTTTGTATCTAATTTGCAGAGTACTTAATTTGACAAATAATACAATTTAGTTATAACTAAAATAATAAGTAATGCAATATATACAAAAAAGACTTGTAACAAAGAATTAGTCTAATTAAAATTAAAATACTTTAGGCAGGTATCAATAAACTATTAAAAAAATATTTTTTAATAAGTAATATACATTATACTTGTATGCAATAAATTAAGATTTAAAATTTTTTTGCAATACTAAGTTAGTAGTATATTAGTATGATTAGTAATATATTTATAAAAAATTTACAAAAAATATATATTATCAAGCTGCAAACTAAATTAATTATAAAAGTATAATCAAAAAGAACATATAATAAATTGTAAATTAATAATTTAAATTTTAATAAGTTTAATTATTTTTTTTTTAAATATTAAGGTGAGTACTTGTGACCCAGGATTTTATTGATAGTACATTCAGCTAATAGTTGC